ACCGAACGGCGATGGAAGTGAGGTTCGCTTGTACTCTTGGGGGTCCATGAGTAGCGAGTTGCGTGCGTCGAGAGGAGTAAGGGTGTCGAGGTCACGAGCTTTCTCTGCAGGGGCTGTTAGATGGTGTTGGCAAGCAGGGGGTGGAGAAGACTTACCAGCTGCCTTTCTCTTCTTACGGTGAGGGTTCTCCTTGCAGCAGATGATGATCGCGTTGACTGCAATGAGGATAGCAAGGACACCAGTGAGTGAAGCCTGCACAACGACAAGAACCAGACCGGTAACCGTCTTGGTGGTCTGGCTCATGCCGAGTTCTTCGACGAAGACCAGAATGCAGACTACCGACAAGACACGGACTACCGAGATGGTGATGTTGATCCAAGTGCTAGACTTGAGCGTGTACGGACGAGCCCAGAGAAGCATGACAAGGAGAAGCGACTCGACGATGAGTTGACCAGCAGCCTGTGCGAGACCGTGGCCATCTGCTCCTGCGATAACGCAACCACGAGCGAACATGAAGATGATGGCCGGTACGAAGATCCACCAGTAGCTCTTCTTGTAGTTCTCGTAGAACATGCTGTACTTGCGCCAAATCTCCTTGTCCTCGTAGAGAGCGTCGGGCTTTCCCTCCATCTTCTTGAACTTGTCTGCGGTGCTCCAAATCTTCCAGGTGAAGAAGGCCAGAACTCCGGTAAAGGCGGCCAGAGTAACACCAGCAAGTGTCTTGACAGCCCACGAGTCTCCATTCTTGAATTGGTAGACACAGTAGAGAACCCAGATACCGTAGAGCAGGAGGATCAAGTTGGTAATCGTCTTGGCCAGAGTCCACCAGTATCGCTTACGGAAGCTGGTCAGTTTCTTCGGGAAGCTGCCAAAGAGTGCCCATGTTTCCAGAATGACCTTGAAAAGGAGGATACCAACGGTGATGGCAGCAATAATGATGGCGAAGATGAGTAGTACTGTCATGAAGGCGTTACGGTCAGGGATGGTGTACTCCTGGATGAAGCCCTGCATGTCCTTCGCGTAGACAATGACCTTGTTGTCACCTCCCTCTTCGGCAGTATCGTTGACGTTCGTGTTCAATTCGTCGCGGGCGAACAGGACGTCAAAGCTGCGCTTGGTCAAGGTCATGTTCTGGTCCACGTGTACGAGGGTAGCGTTCTTGAGAAATTCGACACTGCTTTGAGTGAGGTTGCCGCCGGTGCTCTTACGGAAGTTGTCAATGGAGTGCTGCATTCCCTCCCAGTAGATGAGACCGGTGCTAAAGGCAAAGTTCTGGGACCAGCTGCGGTATACACCGGGGACGTCAGCGCTCATCATGCCGTTCAAAGCCATGGCCTGGAACCATCCGATGACATCCCCGAAGGTAGGACTGGATTGTGCTGCACCAGGGTGTCCAGCGCCAGCGAGCGAAGCAAGACCAGTAACAGCCAAGGCAGCTCCAGCAATTCCAGCAGCGATGTATTGTACTCCTGCGGTGGAAAGTGATTGTCCGTTGCTGACTTGAGAGGTAATACAGGCCAGGTCCTTGCCTCCATCTTTGGCCTTGAGCTGCATCCTGGCTTGACTGTCGATGTCGGGAATGTTGAAGGCGATGCTGGGGATTTGGGACATGATGCTGTCGGGGATGCTCTGCTCGCCCTGTGCACCGAAAGTACCCTTGGGAACTGCTACATGTTAGCTTGTACATTATGCGCATATAGTCGCTATGTGCGTACCTGGACATAGCTGGTCGACTTTGTATTCGCCGTCGCAAGGGTCGAACTCTTTGTTGTACAATTCTCTGCCGTATGCGTTTACAGTGAGGATTGCCATGACCTTCTGCTCAACCTCGTTGGTGCCGGACACATCGAATTTGACCTTCTTGATAGAGCGGTCGAACTCGATGTTTAGCTTGTTGACCTTGATGTCTCCTGTGCCTTCCAGACAGGAGCTGAAACCGTTGGTCTTGAGAATGTCGGCAGCCAGTACGCTCAGTGGCGCGGATGCCAGTAATATAAAAGGTGCGAGCATGGCCGAGTATGTCGCGTGGGGCCTCATTATCGGTGTTGTGCGCCCGGGGGCGTTCTCGGGTTGCGGGTGTCGACAGCGAGCGACGGTCGCAGCAGCGAAGTGTCGGGCGACGTTGGTATGCGCGGGTGGTTGCTGACAAAAGCGAGTGTAGCAAAAGAAACAAGCAGTAGATTAAACGGGGGTCGGCCGCAGGTTCAACCTTTCTCGTGCCTGATGGAAAGCGGTAAACAAAGGCAAGCGTCCAGAGGGAAGGCGCGTCGAGGGAGCGGCGAGCCAGGAAGAGGGTTTGGGGTCGAGTCGGCAGGTACGAGGGACGCAAAAGTGAAACGACTGACGAACGAGGGAGCGATGTGGTTGAGATGAGGACGAGGCGCTGAAGCCGGTAATCTGCCTCTCTTCTGAAACCGTGCGGCGACAGCCAAGGGGGTTCACTCCAATCAGGAAGGGACGCGCGGCGCTAGCCTCGATTAATCCCGCGATGGCGCAGTCGCTGGATCCGACGCTATCGAAGGATGATGGTTGTTGGGCCGCGTTCGAGAACACGATGGGATGCAGATGGGGTTGACGTTGGGGAGCTGTCAGGGACTGTTGCGCGAGCTGGGGAAGGAATGCTTTTTATCGCTAGGTCATCACTATCTGCTGCTACTGCGAGACACGCTGCCCTCACACGCCAATACACCACTACTGTCGTATACTGGCAGCTGAAGACTGCTACCGTGTAAGGCGGGCCTATCAAACTACCCCGGTCCGCTCGAGACCGTTGCCGTCGCCAAGTCAACCATCGTGTCATCGATGCGGAGTCGCAGAACTGCCTGAAGCTTCAAGCCGTGCACAAAGAGCTTATCTCGCCATCATCATCTCTTGTGCACACAGAATCATAGGAGTTCATCATCATGAAATTCACTTTGGTAGCCTACGCCGATAACCCCATGGACGGCGCCAGCGTGGCTGTGCAGCACCCCAGGGTGGTAAAAATAGATGCTCGGCCACTAGGTGAGAATTTGAACACTGCAGCTGCCCAAAGAGACCAAGTGCTGCATCGAGGGATGACGTTCCCTCGTATACTGTAGGCCCGAAATACTTTTGTTGTGGTTCAACAGTCTGCATCTGTCTTTGTTGTGATGACGGTACCCCTTTCAAGAAAGACAAAGGTGCTGCAGTCAGAAGAGGAGCTATTCTACACCTTCTGTCTTTGTGTTTGTGCTATGCGATCGGCGTCTGGTAGTTGCGCGGTCTAGAAACTTTGAAGGCTTCGAGACCGCGAGAGCTGCGTGATTAAGCCGATCACTAGCCCCAGCACCCGCCAGCCGTCACATCAGCCGTGGCCAGGCGCCCTCGTCATCTGCACAGTGAGACCACCAAGACCTACACAACAGCCACCACGGTTGCGCGCCACACTATAGTCAAGTGCAAACCTCATGAAGAGACGTCTTCACTGCGTTCATCGTCGATTCGCTTTCCTGCTATCTTTCCCATGCAGGTTCGGGGGCCTAATCATCCGCCCATGTTGGTGCAATCTCACGTGCAATTTCATACGCCCTCCAGTATCGCTCCTTCACTACCTGGGTATAGCGCTCTGGATTATACCTCTCATCTCCGTTCCGTCGGTCGCAACAGATCGGGATCATGTTTGACAAGATGATGGTGCACTCTGGTAACGATGAACGTCACTGTAGATGCATTCCGTCCCGAGGTCGTGCCTTCTTCTTACGCATCCACATGCTAGACCTTCCACAACCAGTGAAATGTCGCTGCTGTCAACGCGAAGCAGAAGTATCACATGTCTTCCCGTCAAGTGCCTACAGTGACACAAACCCAGCTGGAAGCTCCTTCCCCTCAACCCACGCTACAACAGTCTCCGCCCAAAGACCAGGGTTTTGCCTGTTCCAAGGATGTCTCATACCTGGATGCGTATAAGCAAGAGTCGTGGCATCATTCTCCCTCCCCATCTTGGCGAGTTTTCTCGCAGCCTCCGGGCTATCGTTAGATGGAACCAGCCCACCCTTCCCAGCGACAATGATTAGGGTTCGTGCAGACCACGGTCGGGGTTGCGCCGCTACGCTGCCAGTGTGCGCGATCTGTGTGCAAAGCGATAGCGAAGGACTATTCGTGCGGCGAAGATCTGTACCGTCCATGAGCCAGCGAATCCAAGGTCGTGGGACAGCGTTTTCCATGCGATTGGAGGCCCAGAGCAGGTACGGTAGTAGCGGAGCCTTGGAAACAGGCGCTTCGCTGTATCCAGAAACGAACAACGACGCAACGACATTAGGGTAGTTGGCGGCAATACAGACTGCGATAGAGGCACCGAGACTATGGCCTACAATGTGGGCTCGACCGCCGATGGCTTCTGCCTCTATCAGACGCGCGATGTGCTCTGCCGATATCTCGATAGAAAACGTTATGTGCGACGAGTGACCGTGTCCAGGGCAGTCTGGGAGAAGAAGATGGTAGGTCTGGACGTGAGGCACGACAAGATCCCAATCATGAGCGTCTACAAAGGCGCCGTGTATGAACAGAATGGTGGAGTTGCTGTCTCTTTTGACGGACATATGCCAGAGGAGGGGGTTTGGGTCATCCTGGGCACCTTCTTCCATTTGTTTGGGTGTCATTTGCAGCCACCCTCCTAAAGATGGCTATTGTCAAACAAGGGCTATGTTGTGAAGATGGAGGTGTCGTTGACCAGTTCAGACCCAGAAACGCGTCATCGCCGCCATCGCCAAAAGGCCTCCGCTGTGGCGTAAGGATACTGGGAGGCGTTTCTGACAGACCAATGAGTGATGTTGCAGGCAGTACGCAGTAAGCACGGGTGGTTCTAGTGCTGACGCAAATGCAGCCATCACTATCATCCTTCAATATCGGATATAACATCTCTGGCTTTATAATCCGCTTCCTGTTGCGTCTGGTATAGCTAATGACCTTACATTTCAGGCCTTCATGGTTGAGCGGCCATGTGTGTAATCTCCATCGATAGCTGTCCTGTACACACTCATTTACACTGAAGGCCATTTATACGACATCCACTTTTCCAGCGTACGATTCCACCCACCACTTCCAAGCTGGATATGTACGAACATATCCACATACTGCTTCCACACAACATCCCTTCCAACCATATAACCCAGCTCTTCAAACGTAAAAGTCGCATTGGGGTTGACAATGCACAGCACATCAGGATGCAACCGAACCTGCAACTCGACCTCGATGATATCGCTAATCATCGCATCGGCATCGCCATCCATGACAGCTTTGTAAACAGCATTGTTGTCCTGCACCAGAACGATAGTCGCGGCCTTCAAATTCGCGCGATCAAATGCTTCGTTCGTGCCACCTGGATTGACCGCAACTTTGACACCCGCAGTATCAATAGCATCAAGAGAAGAGAACTTTTCCAGATCTGCGCATCGCACGCAGGCCGCCTTACCCACGCGTTGAATCGCAGTAGAGAAGAAGACCTTCTGTGCGCGAGCCAAGGTGATGCTGACGCCGCTCATAGCGACATCGAATTTCTGCGCTACGAGGTCTGTTGTGATGTTCGCCCAGATTGTAGGAACGAACTCAACTGGACGTGGGAGGCCGAGGGAGTTGGAAAGTGACTGCGCCAAGTCTATATCGGCGCCGATGTAGGTCGTGTTGATGGTTGGTGTGGCAGGCAGTGCGGTTTGGGTTGTTACTTTGTAGGAGAAGGGCTTGTAGTCTCCTGTTGTGCCGACTTTTAGGTAGCCACGTGTCTGGATTTTGTCGAGGATGGATGTGATGTTGGTGTATGAGGTTGGTGTTGAGTATCTGTGGGAAATGAGTATGGCGGACTGCAAAATCGGGGGTGTAGCATTACTTGGGAGAGTACTCGGCGTCATACTCGTTATTTCCTCTCGAAGCCGCGGCGAAAGGGTTGATGAGCAAGGAAGCAGCGACAAGCACTGATGTAGGGTTCACCATTATGACGAACGTTTTTAACCGCCGATATTTAACTCGCAGCGGAGATCGTGAAAACTTGAGGGAGCTGGCACGTAGTTATACTAATCTCCGATCTCCGCAATCTGGATGCTGACAAGCTCCGCCCAGCCTCCAGTAGATCCTTCATAGCTCGAAAATCTTGCCATCACGCCAACCTAGGAAAAAACTGAACAGCCTGGAGCCTATGTTGACGTTAGATCACCTACTTTGCAAGGTTTTAGTTTGATGTAGCCTGCAGACCTGTTCAGTCTTTTTCTCGTATGAGGTGCCATCCTGAAGATAGATACCCGGGTGTCTTGATCCGCTAAATACTAGTTCACAATGGGGAGGACACACGACTGATTAATGATGCCAGTCATATGCTCAGCTCTTGCTGCTTAGCGTCCGCGACGTTTGACCGTACAGTATCTTGGGTCGTGTCTTGGCAGGGCACGAGCGATGACGGGGTGTTGTAATCGGCCGACGAAGGCCCGCTCCGGATTTTGATACGAGATAGACGTGGACATTGCTGATCATATGACTGTCCATTCCGGTGTCGCATGTGAGTATTGCCTGGATCTTGGTTTGGCCTGAACTAGCCGCATTAGTGAACATGTTGATGTTTATATAGCTCTCTTGCCTGCAAGAGCATACCAGCGTGGGCCAGCTATGGTCCCAAAAGCTTTTGGGTTGTAGCGAAGAGCAAGTAACCCCGAGGCTCATTCTCCTCTACCCGCGTAGCAAACATGCAATCGCCTGAATTACCCCCCTCACTCTTCCAAACGTCACTGTATATCTAGCTAGTCTTCCTGCTGAATCTTTGGCCTTTCCTTAAAGTCCATCATAGCTCCCAGCGCATCCCAGTCTTCATGTCGTTGCACGCGTTTACTCATGTGTTGTGCTTCTTCCAGCCACTGGTCCCACACATCAGTCCTTGGCACCCATTCCCTTGCCCAGTCAATCTTCTGTGTAGTGTAGATGGTTGTCCAAAGGCATTGTGTCCAGCAATCATGTTTAGTGGTTTGTGGTGGATCTAATTCCAGATCGATGTGCCACGACAAGCGGAGCGGCAGAATTGCGGCGATCCAATATAAAATATTCAAGACCGTATATGTGACAGCAAGTGCTGCTTTCATTGTCCATACGGCATTACCGAAAAGTACAATGGAGCCCACAAGTGTAAGCCCACCCACGGTCCCGCTCAAGCCGCGCCCCGTGAAGGAGCTGACCGCATAGTCGATGGTATCAGGGTGGAAGTAAAGAATACGCGCGATCTGCTCGTCGCATTCCACAACCGTGAAGGATCCGTTTGGAGATTTGATGACAACCGTACCTGGTGGCGATTCAGCACTTTTCGGCATAACAGGCAGAATCCATGGCGTCCAATGCATCCCGACACAGAGTAGAGGTGTCGTAAAACTCATGACCAGGATACCAGTAAGTGCGACTGCATCCCCAAGCACAAGAGCCCATGCTGCCAGTCCGAAGCTCAATGCGCAGCTGAAGATAGCGATCGTTTTCATTGGCGCGAACAATCTTGGTCGAAGTGGACGTCTTCTGAGGCTTCTATCTTCGTTCTCGGGATCCCACCGTATCTTCACTACACGTGTCGTGAATGGTGGTAGCTCAGGCCAATCCGTATATAACATTCGACCGAAATAGTGTAAGCCAGGCCTGGTAACGCCTGTATGAATCCCTATCACCGGTGTATCCTCTTCGGACTCAAGTTTCCTTGGTCGTCGCGCAAGGAGACCCTGAGGCGCGGGTATCAGTCGTGGTAGGAAGCACGTCCACGACATGCAGATCTGCTGGCTGCAAGCTTCGATGTTATGCTCGCCTAAGAAGGCTAGGATGTTGACGACGTCGAGGCTCCAGTCATCGCGCAGTTTTGGGAAAGCGATATCGATCATGCTGAATGCTGCTTGTGATGTCAAAGTCTCGCAAGATGCCAATGGCGAATCGACAGATAATTTTGGAGCATGGCGGATGCTGGCTCTGATGTTACAGTTGGGCTTTATACTGGTGCAGCCCCACGAGGGGCGCAATGCATGTCTTCAAGGCTGAGTAGGTGGGCCTCAAGGCTGAGTAGGTGGACTCGGCTGAGGTCACCTACTTGTGCTCGTTACCTGCCTAGGTAGGTAGGCGTGTCGACCCGACGGAACCTTAGAAGGGTCGAAAGACATTTCTGAGATTTCTGTGAACTGATTTATCTGGTTCTCATGAATTGAGTGGTCGCAACGATGCGATGCCCGTGAGGTGATTTGTGATGGTAAAGTGACAAGAGCGCGAATCAATCAGCCACGGCCAGACTCATGGCGGCGTCGATCTTGAAAACCCGCTAGTGGAAGGCCCGTGCCTACCACACGGTCCATCCGCTCTGCATCTCAAAAGACGTGAAAACCACTGAAGAATCATCAAAATAGCGACAACTTATCCTCTCGCTTATTCCGATTGTACTTCAAGGCTTCGTTGCATGCATAGCTATTCGTTCTCGAGTCCGCTTTCGGCCGGAAGATAGGTATCAGATGGGGAGATTGGAACGGTAAGGTCCTCGTGGCTACAGAAGACTAGCGACCAGCCTGTCTCCCGTTCCCCACAACATCCCGACTCTCAGTCGCAAACTATACTGTCATTGCTGCGCATTTCGTCCTCGCCTGCGCTTCCCGAATGTCAGGGTCTCAAGGCGACGAGAGGCCGCCAACTTCAGGCCCCACTAGCCGGTTTTGCTGGCCGTTGATTCGAGCGAACGAAATCCTCCGCCTCCCGTAAACTTCCTACCCCAAGGCTCCATCTCCACCTTTGCAACGTCACTTGCGGAGAGTGGTTCTTTGCCTTCCCTTTCCAGGAACCGTTACCCATCTCAGACTACCCGACCGGACGGATCGTGGTTCGCGACAAGGGTGTCGCTGTAAGGGCAGTATGATGCGCCGTTCGCAGGCGCATGGCACACAAGATTTGCCCAGGCGCGAGAGACAGATCCGCATCATAGACGAAATGCGGTATGCTATATAAGACTAAAAGGTTTCCCGATCACCGAGATTTATCTCCGCACCAGCTCGCTTTCTACCCAGGATGTCCTCCACTAAAGCCAGCCTCACGGCTCTCGCCTTAGGGTTCTCATCCCTCTTCACCCCGGCCTTCGCCGCCCCTTCGCCATCTTACAACTCGCCCAAACCAGTCAAAGACCCCTACTCCAGGGAATACTGGCCCGCGCCTCGCAAGATCACAGGTCAGGACTTGAACGGTACGCTTGGTGGTGTCCACATCCACGACCCAAGTATTGTGCTCGGACCAGACGGCCACTACTACTCATTCTCCTCTCATGGCTTAGCAACCACCTCCCGTGCTTCGAAGAAGAACAGCCTGGAAGGGTACTGGGAGGTTGTCGCTCAAGTTCTGGAGCCGCCTGGCAGCATTGATGATCCCGCTCAGGCAAACCGCCTTTGGTAAGAGGCAGCTACGTTGCAATTACCACGAGGAATTGCGTATTAACACTATAATGCAGGGCCCCAGATGTTCACAAGGTCGGTGATACCTATTACTGCTACTATACCGTCTCCGACTTCGGCGTCTCGGAGTCCTTCATTGGACTTGCCACCTCGAAGACCCTGCAAAATGGGTCCTGGACTGACCACGGCATGGTCGTGTCTTCCAACAGCACCGACGCGCCATTCCCGCTGAGCAAGACCAATACCATCGACGCGGCTTTTATCCAAGACGCCAAGACCGGCAAAAGCTATCTCTCCTACGGCTCCTGGTGGGCCAACCTCTGGCAGTTCGAGCTGACCAAGGACCTCAAATCCGTCAAGATCCCCACTGCCCGTCAGCTGAGCTATACCTACGATCCCGTGCTGCCGACTAAAGAGCAGGCGTACGCCAACATGTCTCTTTCCTGGGGCGGCGCATCCGCCGAAGAGGCCCCATATATCAACTACAACAAGGAGCAAGGCTTCTACTACCTCTGGTACTCAGCGGGCCTGTGCTGCGGCTACAACCCTGCTGCGCTGCCCCCTCCTGGAGCCGAGTACACCATTTTTGTTGGTCGCTCAAAGTCGCCCCGCGGACCTTTCGTGGACCGCAATGGAAAAGATCTCGCCGAGGGTGGCGGAAGCATGGTCTACGGCAGTCACGGCAACACCTACGCACCCGGAGGACAGGCAGTGATTTCCGACTATCGCGGAAGCGATGTGCTATACTACCATTACGTCAACACGACATTCGACCCGCTGTACCGAGACAACTTCAAGTTTCTAGGATGGAATCCGATCAAGTACGCCAAGGGATGGCCAGTGTTGCAGAAGTAATTGGAGGAAGGACATGGACGCCAAGAAGACTATGTATCATAAAAGAGAAATGGGTATAATATGAGCAACCGAATCCACCAAACTCCCTACACCGTATCACTCACTAGACCAACCAAAGTTGCAGTGGCCAGAGCGGTGTGATTGCAGCGGGGACTGGCGCCTACTTTCGTTTCTCTTCACCGCTTCCGCAAAATCGCCTGTATAATGCCAATCATCAACCCATTCTTTCACATACGACCATAGGACACTGAGAATTAGGCTTCCCGTCCGCTCAGCCATATACAAGCAGTGTACCGGCGGATTAGTAGTTAGGTGGGTGACCACTAGCGAATCCCCGCTGTTGTATGTTTTTGCCTTCTTTTTGCCCATCCAGCATCGCCAACACCAGCGCGTTCAGGCGCGACAGCCTTGCATTTCTTTTTGCTTGCGACCTTATCTTTCCAAAGTGCTAAGCCTTGTAGCACCATCTAGCTATTGCGAGCTTTCAGCGGGCCCTAGAAGGGGAACATGGGGTACACGTGTGACCATTAGGATAATAGCATGGTCCTTAGCTGCCAATAACATTCGCATGTTTTTTTTACACAGTCGCAAGGTCATGCAGACAGATTAGATGTCCGGCTCCTACGGAGTCCAAGAAATGTCCTTTGCTTAGGAGCCGCGGCTTTCTTGATAGCAAACAGATCATCCGCGATCTCTTTGGCTTCCCGCCCAAGATTCTTCTTGCGCTTCTCGTAAAGCGCAAGCGGGAACTCAAACTTGTCGCGATGCTTTCGGATGCAGTCAAGCGCTGCAGGCTTTCCCGAATCCAATGCGATATCCAGCGCAGTGCGTCGGCTACACGGCAGATTTGTGATCTCACGCGACGCCTTCTCAAGAAGCGCATCGAGAGCTTTATAGGCGTTGTTGGACAGAGCCCAATGGATAGGATGTTTGTTTGCGGAAGGCAATAGCTGTGCCAATATCTCAGGGTTCTGTTCGAGCTGTAGTCTCACGCTGGCAGTATCATCCCGCTCAATTGCAGAGCAAAGTTCTCGTTGTATTTGTGGGTTCTGCTCCGGCGTGACATCTCGCTGATCTTGCGGTGCTTCCCTTCCCATGGATGCCGTCGTTTCATCTTGAGCTTGGACTTGTCCATATGGCATCACTACTATTGGGTCTTGTGTTTGCGCCACTCGATCTTGCGAATGGATCGATTCTTCTAGCAAAGAGTCTCCGCTGGAGGATATTGAGTGCAGAGAATTATGCAAAGTATCCGGAAGAGTCGCACGTGAGCCGGTGATGGTCGGTGGAGGAGAGGCTGTTTCCAAGATGCTGTGGCAAGTTTCTGGTTCTTGCAATGCGAGGAACTCATCAGATCGCCTTTGGCGGCTAGGTCCATGTTCTTCCGCGTGGCCGTCCTGCAGAAGCCTCAATTCTTCTAAGAGGTAGCAATATTCGTAGCCTTTAGGCGCAAGGTCATACGATTTCCAATCTCGCTGAATCTTGGCAAGTCTATCACGCAGCTCTGTCGCTCCTATTCTTTGGTTGCGATCGACGCGAAGAACCCGTCCAAAAATCACCTTGAGTATGGCTAATACAAATCTTTGCTCAATTCGACGGTCGTAGGTTGCTCTGAGTAGTGTGTTGGACCAATGTATAAGAAAGGGATGCAGAGCAGCGCTGAATTGTCTTCCTGGTCCTGGAATGATACACACGTTTGGGGCCTGCTCCGGTAGATAGCAGCAGATGTGCTTATCTCGGTCTTCCCATTGATATGAGTCGCTCCTTACGTAGAACAATGGCTCTTTACCAGCGCAGTTCATGAAATCGACCATCAAGAATGTCTCTAACTCCCTGACTGCCTTTGAACCATCGGCAATGAACGCAAGTACCATGAGCGTTACACAGCCCATAGACCAGACATCACTACCCTGACCTGCTACACTAGTCTCCTCCTCCTGGATCTCTGGAGCCTGATATAGACCAGGCGGTCTCGTTGCGGGCTGAGTCGATGTTCGCGACGTAGCCGTAGAGGTCTGTGCAGACCCTAGCCTCCGTTTCTTAGCATCTCTTTTGCGAGCCAGACCAAAGTCGCTGAGCTTCCAGGTAAGCTTGGACTGTCTTTCGTTCCCAGTACCAGAAAAGGTCTCGAATATCAAGATGTTGTCAGGTTTGATGTCGAGATGTAAAGTTTTGAGTTGATGGTGCAAGCATTCTAATGCTTCGACGATGTCAACAAGGCTGGCGAGCAGGCGAGATGGTTCAATATCTTCCTGGGCGCGATTCTTATCGTTGAGCAGGTCACCCAGACTAAAACTTGCCAGTTCGAAGATGAGGGATTGTCTGGTCGGCTTTCCTGCCCCGTCGAGTTCGGTTATACTGCCCCAATCTAGCAAGATCATATCATGCTTAGTATTGGAGGTTCGCAACTCCTTGAGGATCTTGAGCTCGATTTCGAAGTCCCGGGTAGCCTCTACCATATCGCGAGCAGGTTCCACGGCCTCGAAAATCTTGAGAGCTACAACCTTCGTGCTGTTCGGGTTACCGGGCACGAAATTGGCATCGTTCTGAGTTTCGTCTTCTTGAATTTCCCAATGACTTTGTGCTATTGTAGCCTTGACAACCTGGCCTTGAGAGCCGCTCTTGATCGATTCCAGTCCGCCTACAAAGGGCAAGCGTTCGCTGCTGCTGATTCGAGGATGTCTCAGTTTTCGAATCGTCACTGGTTTGAAGATTGCTTGGTCCGCCAATAAGGATGCGTGGTCTATGTCTGGGACTTTATAATTGAACAGATCGGTTTCTGTGAATGGCATCGACTCATCGAACGGGATGAAATGGTCGTGCTTAGCTACAGATCGATCAAATCCGGAGGTCAACCATTTCATGAATAATGAAAGCAATTCTGGTCGGCGTTGGTACAAGAATAGCGCAAGCAGGGACTTTCGAGACGGGGTATTCGTAATAGCTTGGATGCATTTCTCAACGACTTCGTTGAGAGACGTAGAGTACGAGCAATTCCGTTCGTTAGCGACATCGCTAGTGATGGCTTGTAGAGCTTCACCGACTCCAGAGGAAGAATCTTCACACGCAAGCTCCCTGAACAAAAGGTCCAGTGACTTGTAGCCGAGTATCTGATCCAGGTCAGTCTTTGGCAAGAAGCGGCGAGAGTGTCTGCCATGCCGGGGCCCATTTTCCACAGTACGCCTGACAGCATTTTGCAATTCCTCAGTCAAGTGTGCCACTTGAGGCTCGCATGCTATAGACCTGCTGGTCCGCAAGGTTGAGGAACCGGGCTTGTCGCTCATTGAGCCTGGCCGCTCAGATGGTCGATTATCACGTATTCTTTGGTCGTGGTACGCGACGGGACCCGCGCCGAAATCCAGGATAGATGCGCTTGGTGGAACCGACGATGCGCGATCGTCCCTGCAACGACAAGAAGAGGCCACACGAGCTCATTAGCCTATTTCTGGGCGGTAGCAAGATTGCAGGTGGGGTAAGGTGCGCGGAACGTAGCAGAAGTGTGGGGCAAAGATGCAGTAAGACACTTGTGGGTGATGGGCAGCATCGCCCATGGGGACATTGCCCATGGGGACGGCCCCGGGCCACATTTCTCGGTGGCCAAGGAGCCGCGTGGCGCGGGCCCCCGAGCGGACGCCGCATGTTGACAAACTCTCGAGGTCGCCGCTTCTACCCACACCAACGTGTCGCGGCAGGCCAAACACTGCATGTATTCTTCCACTGTCGAATACCCGACTGCCTAGCTGTGTCAGCCTTATGGCAACACGACGTGTTTAGATTACCTAGGTATGAGCAGGCCTATAGGCTCGCGCCAACGCAGACATACCTCGGCACGCTCGAGACCGAGTCGATCTCATTTCAGCCTCGTCCAAATAACAGCAGGCTATAAAAGTCCTTCAGCGGCATTTAGATGACATTATGCCTTGTCTCAGCTCAGCCACCACCATGAAACAGCAGCAAGCCCTCAGTCGTTACTACAGTCGTGACAAGCTCCACAACTTTCTTAAAGGCAGATTTGGTGACAACATCAATTTCAACATCCAACGAGCGGGAGATGAGTACTTTACCTTTGAGGCACCTGAGCTTTTGACTCCTGTAAGTCGTTTGGGAAGGCGCATAAGCCTATGCTGACACCGTTAGGATGAGTGGAGGTAATACGATACACCCATCGTCACTGTGACCGGTGAAAGCTAACGATAGGCAATTCTGTAGGGAAGCGAAAGGCTGATGTGCTGTCCTTGTCAGCCTGCTCAGGCAATGTGGGGCCCATAGGATGAGATTAGCTCATCTTGCATGTATAGCAAGCTAGAACGAAAGACATCTTCGAGTGCGCGTTGAAGATAGTGTAACCGTCCATCCTGCTGCCACTCGTCTTCCCGAAATGTCTCCTCATTGCCAGGAAGATGGCCGGAATACAGATAGTCTGCGTGCGCTCGCCTTGTCAGCATCGCAGATACAAGCTCGCACTCTCGACTGTGACCATCTATTCTCGAAACGCAGTGCCGACCATTTTCTCGAAGTGACTCGCTTCACATCTGATACATCTCGAACTTCATCAGTTCATGTCTTTACGACATTGTCCCAGCTGTCAGCTCATCTGAGGAACGGTGCAAGAACTATGGCCGGAACGCGAAGTGATTTTGAGATATAGTGAGTGGGTTCCCTTCGTTTTAACCAGAGGCTAATTCGGTTTCGAGTACGCTTCACCAGAAATATACATGGGCGCCCCTTAGCATTAGCCGTGATATGGTAACTCTTCTGAAAGATCATTATGACCTCAGTCCTGGTTTTCTAGAGATCCTAGTCTACTTCAAAGACCGATATTTGCCGACGGAAGAGGGATACTCAGGCGCTTCGCAATCTTTCTTCACGGACGCCCGCTCTGGTATGTTATCATTTCCTCAGACTTTCGAAGTACGAATATAACAATCTTTAGAGTTTGGTTGGGTCTACAAATACTCGGAAAAGAAGGTCGATAGCCCAGAAAACCCGTGGCGGATTCGGCACACCGGAATCTATCACCTTGTGGATCGGAAGCGGGCGAGATCAGTATTCTTCATCATACATCCAAGCCCGTCCGCTCACTTCAGAGTTCACCTTCAACAGGTTTTACAACAGCCAGAAGTCAGACTAGCGGTGCTCTCAAACCCAATGCTGATCCACTCCATGCTGATATCTTCATATCTAAGCTCTTGGCGTGACTATCTCGAGCACCAGGAGACCCAGCTTTGGCAATTAGTAAGCATTCTCATCTGTGGTCACAAACCGTCGAGTATCTACTGATCGATGCGAAGGACATGAAACCAGCCTGTACATCACTCACGCAATCACTCGTCACGTTTGACACTCTCAAGGCACTTCGTGCTGTCGAGAAAAAGATCGTGCCCCTCGATCCCCTCCTTGCGTCGTTCGAAAAAGTAATAGATGATCTGCAAGAAGCCAACAGTGTCCTCTCTGCAGCTGTCGAAGCAATGGATGGCACTTCTGCCGTCCTGAAAGCGGCACTTACCCAGTTCCGCAGGGATGCTGCAGCATACAGAGGACAGGTTTTCTACATGAACAAACGGATCCAGTCTACTGCTCAGTCAATGCTGGATACCCTGAATCTGATTCAGAGCAAGAACACCTTTGACATGGGAAGATCAGCGCGAGAGGACTCAGTCGCCATCAGAGCGATTACGCTCGTCACTTCATTCTATCTTCCATTCTCATTCGTTGCTGTAAGTTCTCCAATTCTACTGTATGGACTGAACACAGCTAAAGACGTATAGACCATGTTTGGGATGAACCTTGTCGACTTCGACACTGAGTCTCGCAATCTTGTTCTGTCGAAACAACTCTGGCTATATTTCGTGATATCAGTCCCTCTGACTGCTCTGACGCTGGCATGCTGGAAGTGGAGAATGCGACTGTATCGTGATAGCGATATGCATGGAGGAATAGGTTCGACCATGTGCATCAAACCACTGAAGGGTAATTCCGATATCGAAATGGGTCAGTACTGAAACGGTAGTTCTCGTCCATCGCAACAACATACTGTGTACAACATGGCTCATGCCGTCTCACCGATATGGCAACAAGGCGCGAGATACCTAGGTAGACTTAAAGCGAACATTATGTGCTGCCTGTCAGTCGTAGCGTCGAGACACTGAGAACATAAGTCATCCGTGTCTATCGATGCTGGATGCGGTGCTTCAGTAATGAAACATCGCGATAGATAGGTAACCATAGTATTGCGATGTCGCAAAGCGACGAGTCCCATGTTGTCCGCAACACACAGTATCTTACACACGAAAGCGCTATCGAATGAGCGATGTCGCAATTACCAGAAACGTGTATGCGACTTACGACTTGCGAGATGAAAGCGTAACATGTCGCCTCAACCAAAGCACAAACTCAATGACTACATAGCTGGGCGAAGAGCAAGTTCTAGTCTGATTCAAACGCGCGCTCTCTTTTTCGTTGGCATCGGGCGCGCAAAAGGAAAACAACCCACCTGGGCACAGCCGACATTCCGTGATTGCCGAGGGGGAACTGGACTTGGCATGCATAGGCGCTTACTGTTATGGGCGCTTGGAGCCGCGTCGCCCTTGCAGCGTCTTTCGCACTCCATCGCGACAACATCATTTTTTATCATTCTCAGCTTATCCGACCAACAACTCCACTTAGATGATTTTCAATGATACGGGAGTCTCTCCCTCATTTACAAGCCATTGTAACCTTATTATTTGTCGATGGCCCCTCACATCGGCGGCTGGTTTGATCGGTGAGGACTGGAGGACCTTTTGTCTAAGCCGGAAACGCGAACCTAACGCGGGCTCCCGAGGGCACAATGTCCCACAACAGCCAGGCTGTGTTCACTAACCCCCATCTCACACAGATGAACAGCTGGCAACGTCACTAGGGCCTATGAGAACGCCTCAAATTCTCAGGTTACGACGCCGCGTACTTGTCGCTCATGTGTGACAAAGAATGCTGGCATGTAGCACACGGCGCCTTGTTGCCTTCTTCCAGCCCGTGGTCTCGGCAGGCTTTTGGGATAGGCCGCCTACATATATGACGCATTTCCAGGTATAAGCCGCGTTACCTTTTTCCACGTCTGTCGTTTTTCCTTGGGTGCTGCTCCACACTATCATCTGTTAGTACATGGAAACAATGGCCACGCCCACGGATACTGCCACTTCCCCGGTAACGCTACCGTCTGTACACAGGCCTACGCTCGAAGAGAACCCCATGTATGCAAGCCTTACGATTCGTTACGGTCGTCTCTGATAATGCCCCACAGTCCCTCCATCTACAATCCACTGAGTGGGGTTACGCGTATAGAAGCCGAAAGATTTCACAAGAAATATGCATTACCGGTCGGGCGGGGTGTGTTCGTTCGCGGTGTCATCGCGCTTCGATCGCAAGATGACATCAAAGCTGAATTTGAGGACATTCGAGAATCGCGTTCCGGAGCACCAGATGCATCCCAAAGACCCATCGAGTTGCGCGTCGGCGAGCAGAGATATACGAGGCTGGAAAGTAAGATTTTGTACAAGGCTTTCTTACCACAGAGTAGGTGGGAAACGCTGAGAAGTCTTTCGAGGCTGCATCGGCTTTTGATCGTCGCTTGCATCTTTGCAGCGATGACTCAGTAAGTGCTGATCCTCAGCGCAAGCAATCAGTGCCTGACGTTTCTCCAGGGGTTGGGATCAAGCTGCTATGGCTGGTAAGACAAGTTGATAGCATTGGACACCGAACCTCGTCTAACAATGTGAAGGAGCTGCTATCGAAGTAATGAATGACTTAGGTAAACCTACCACCGCGGGCCCCAGCTCCGGCGTCACCAGGCGGACAGACGGTGATCTCAATGTTAGCCTCGACCACAATGCCTGGCTGCTCGGAGTCACGGTCGGGGTACCGTTCTTCGCTGGCGCAGTACTAGGTTTAATCATTACCGACCCAATCACCAGAATTCTTCGGTTTGGCCGTCGAGGTGCTATATGCGCCGCGGGTATATTTAGCTTCATATCGGTTTTAGGCTCTGCTTCGGTTCACAAATGGGAGCATCTTCTCGGGTTCCGAATCTTGTTAGGTGCCGGTATGGCAGGCAAAGCCTCCATCGTGCCTATTCTGCTTTCTGAAACCTCACCCAAGAACATACGTGGTTTTCTGCTGGTATTCTGGCAGCTTTTTGTGGCATTTGGGCTAGCCGCCGGATCGGTTGCGAATATGGCCGTGTATCGCCTCAATGTACATTCGAGCTGGCGGTACATGTTCATTTCTGCGTTCATTCCCGCATTGATATTACTATCACTGATTCTTTTCTCACCTGGTAAGCGGCTCATGTACATACATTTTCTTAATTCCTGAATGCTGATTCCTGCGCAGAATCACCTCGGTGGCTGTTGAAAGAGAGCGGCGCCTTGGGAAGACACTCGGAAGGCGGCGAACTTTCGGAGAATGCGCCTCAAAGGGGAGAGCTCATTCGGGCGGCCTACAAATCCCTTGTCGATCTCCGAGGCGAAGATGTTCCCATACTTGCCGCTGGCGAACTTTTCATGATGCATAGGCGTCTGATCGACGAGCAGCGGCGACTACAGGCAGCATTGGATCGTCGTCCATATACGTCCAGTGCGGCCGATAGGACCACGAATACAAGAAACCCTTTCTTTGAGGTCATTCAACATATCAGCTGGCGAGAAAGGGTCACGTTGATCTTTTTTCGCTCTGGTTATACGAAGAGAGCACATCGAGCTGCAATTGCTGTGATGGTCTCACAGCAATTGTGTGGCATCAACCTGATAGCTTTTATGGCCGATTATTTTTTCCGATACTCCTTCTTCCATGGCGACCGTCACACGAGCCCGGACCAAAACATGCAGCTACTGGGCGCATCCCTTGGGTTGATGCTCCTCAACTTTATCGCTACAATCCCAGCCCTGTTCTACATCGACAGCTCCGACGGACGCAGGCGACTGCTGAACGGGTCGTTCCCAGCCATGGCCATCTCATTGCTAGTCTCTGCTTTAGTTCTGAAGATTCCGAACCGAGCTGCAGCCATCGCTTTCCACTACATCTTCTTGGTCATGTTCATGATCGCGTATTCCATCGGGGAAGGTCCAGCTGCTTTCGTCATCTCAGCAGAAGTCTTTCCCCTCGTCAATCGAGAACTCGGCATGAGTCTCGCAGTGTGTTGGAACTTCATGGGAGCCGGACTTCTCGCTGTCTTGGCCCCATCGCTGCTGAAAGCGCTCGATCAATTCGGCGTACTCTTGTTGTTCGCCGGCACTAACCTTGTCGCATGGTTTCTTTGTTACTGGCTTGTTCCCAGTACCGGCCAAGAAAATCTGGAGGAAGTATTCGAGCAGCTGGATATCACTACCTGGTTCATGTTCAAGTACACTTTAAAGACGATATCACACGCACTCACCGCTCCAGTAGATCGCTGCTTGCGACTGTTCTCTAAGCCTCTAGGAGAGTGTGGCTACCCGAAGAAACTCGGCACGCCAAGACAGGAGTGGGAGGAGTGGAAGAACCGAGCACAACAATCGGAAGCCACTCTTGCTGATCTTGCGGACTCTTCAGAGTCAAGCGCAGATGAGACAGATCTGCCGAGCGATACGGAACCCAATACTGGAATTGAACTACTTCAGATGGCAACCCATCCCTCGAGACGATCTCATTGAAAAGGCGCAGTATGGACTTCGGAAGCTTTAAGCAGCTTGTCAGCGATAAATCACAGTAGTACCAGCGATCGGTCACAAATACTGAATCCCATAACAGAGGGTTCAAGGTTTATCAACTCGTTACTCGTATAGTTTTACAATACGGCACTAATAACAACTAAATCACACTAAACCGCTTCACTACCATGCGACGCGACACAATGTTCGTGCTCCAAGTATCGACAGACCAAGAAGCTTTCCTTAGTACATCTCGCTGCTTTCTTCCGTCGGGGTCGGGTATAACCTCAAATTACAACAGCGCCTCTTTCTTAAGGTAGTCTTTAAGCAACCGTCAATATCCTACCTCTAGAATCCAACGCCCAGTTAGTCTCGAACCCATCCTCATCCACCACCCTCTCCATAGCCCAGAACCTCTCTTCCATAACATTCACCCTCCTCCTACCCAGCTCCTCCAGCAAATCCAAAAGACGCTTATCCACCCTCCCCAGCCAGATCCGCACAGCCTCTCCTTCGACCCTCGCACGACGCGTCACCCACCAAAGCGTGCCATCGCGACACATGCTAAACCACCAGCCTAGCAAAAACACGGCTTTGGGGTCTTTGTGTTCCAGCAGGGCTAGGAAATCGGGCGTGAGAAACGCGGTAAAGTATAGGAAATCCAATACGTTGGTATGCGATAGGCGTAGATGCTGGATGCGCGAGAGGATGAGGACGGGGAAGTGATAAACGTTGTTCTCCTTGTTGGATTCTCGCGTGATACCGAACATCAGTCTCACCTTCTTAGGCACAAGACTGGTGTCGTTGCTGACCATCCACTCGGGTGGCGTAGGACAAGGACCTGTCTTCTTCTTTAGAACACGATTGAACACACTGTCCTCCCGCGTCGGATCTGCGATACGCCAGAGATGTCGTTTCCCCTCTCCGATCTTCATCCAGGCGAGGTCGCCTGGCTCGGAAGGTTTTAGCGGCCAGACAGCGTGGGGGTCGTCGGATTCGAGGTACCAGAAAGATGCTGCGCCGAGGTGGACGCCTGTGGCCCAGATGGCGTCGCGTTGGGATGGAGGTATGGGACCGGAGAGGAGACGCTGGTACTGGGTTGTGGCGTGGGACCAGTGGCGCAGCGATGCGTTTTGGAAAGAGAGAGATCGGGTGGGAGTGTGGGCAAGAGCGGAGTCGTGCATCAGGGTTAGGCCGAGGATCATGTGCATTAGGAAGGGGTGCTACACTAAAAGTCAGTTCTGAACAGCTAAAGGAAGAATGGGTTAGACGTTACGTTGAATGTGAGGCGGCATACTATGTCTCTGCATGCTGGGGCCATTCTCTCGCCTATACGA